TCGGATAAAAAAAATTCCATCGAATTTAGTCCGGTAGCTATGGAGATATCTTCGCTCAAAGTTAGAAAAATCAAAATGCTATTAAAATAGAAATTGCGCCAAAACTTTGAGCGAAGATATCTCCACAACCACCTGACAAAATTCGATAAAAATTTTTTTATTTGAATTTTATGGACTCGTAGAATCAAGATAAAAAATTTTATCGGGTTTGGTCAGGTGGTTGTGGAGATATCTTTGCTCAAAGTTAGGGAAGAATCAAAACGCCTATCAAAATAAAGTTACACAACTACCCAGCCAAATTCGATAAAGTTTTTTATTTTGAACCCATAGAATGTAATAAAATAATTATCAAATTTGGCTAGGTGGTTGTGGAGGTATCCTCGCTCAAGTTTTTTAAAAAATTAGTGTAGCTTCTATTTTGATAGGTGTTTTGATTTTTCTCTTCTTTGAGCGAAGGTATCTCCACAACTACCTAACCAAACTCGATAAAAATTTTTTATTTGATTTATAAATCATAAAATGCGAATAAAAAAATATATAGATCAAATTTGTTAGGTAGTTGTGGAGATATCTTAGCTCAAAGTTTTTAAAAAAATTGACATAGCTTCTATTTTGATTGGCGTTTTGATTTTTCCCTAGCTTTGAGCAAAGATATATCCACAACCACCCGACTAAATCTGATAAAAAATTTTTTATTTAATTTTATGAGTTCATAGAATTCAAATAAAAAAAAATTTTATTAAATTTGGTCAGGTGGTTGTGGAGATATCTTAGCTCAAATTTTTAAAAATTGGCGCAGCTTCAATTTTGATAGGCGTTTTGATTTTTTTCTCTAATTTTGAGTGAAGATATCTCCCTAGCCACCTGACTAAATTCGGTGAATTTTTTTTTTTTGAAGTTTATGGATACATAGAATTTAAACAAAAAAAATTCAATCGAATTTGGTCAGGCAGATACCGAGATATTTCGATTTAAAGGTTTGAAAACTTCTTCTTAATAATATCACGTGACTGCAATGTCCGTAGATTTCGTGGGTCGCTTACAGTAAAGCCAAGCAAATTTTTTTTACGCGGATCAGCCCGACGAAGCAAAAATACAAGAAACGAATGTTTATACCTATCTTGGTACAAATAAGAAAAAATGTCGGGAGACGATTTTACATATAGAAATCTCCCAATTCTAGCCAATATAGGCCCTAAACTGACTCTAACCTTAACGACCTTAACGTTAATTTAAATTCGTGATGGACCTGGCTTTAAGCATCCCCTCCAGAACGTATTTGATAATCATTTGTTTAATATGATTGGTTGATGGCTAGTTATAAAAAAAGCCGATAATCGAATTTTTCGTCAATCTTTTGATTTCTTACCGCAATGCTTTTCTTTCGCCAATTTATACGACGTTATGCGGATGGTCGTTTTAAAAAAGGATTAAGCGATCGTATGTCCTGGATACATTTTCTCGCATATGATAAGGGGAGGGGTGGCTTGCTAACCGATTTGGCAAAGTATAAGTATCCGCAAACTCAAAAAAGGAACCTAGGCCATGATAATACCAAAAAACCTTTTCCTTCTATCGAAGAAATCAAGAAATGGGATAAGGAACGAATTGTTAATTTTTTAGAGTCCAAAAAAGGCGAGTTAGAGCGTGAATGCCTAATTAAGGAAACTTCAAAAGCGGAAGCTAATGATCTTGTGCACGTTTTTGTCGACAACTCTAATATCGCTATTGAAGGGAAACATACTATTGGCGAGCTTGAAAACCTTGGTTCATTTGATTATGAAAGAGATTCGCGTTACTTTAATCAACTTCGTATTGATTATGGTCGACTTCTTACAACTGTTCAGTGTGCTCCTGTTATTGTTGGCTTACGTCCTCC